TTGTTGACTTCCTCTCCAATAGTGTCAATGAAGCTGCTCTTGCTCACATCTCTAATGCTCCCCTCTTTCTTAGATTCTTGCCATAGGGTGCATGCGCTGCCAGAGAGAGAGAGACAGAGAGAGGGAAAGTGAGGAATCCCCCCATGGGGATGGCCAAACCAATGCCAAATCCAGTAACTTCTCAAGTTTTAGTTTCCTCAGCCTCTCTGTGCCAGTCATAGCCTTTCTCTTTCACGGGCCTTGCTTGCCTTTTGAATGCTATTCTCTGGGATTTGCTCCTCATTATTTTCATTTATTAGTCTACACATTTTGCTCAGGTGATTTTGTTCATATACATGGATTCTACTAGCACCATTCATTACACTCTTAAACTTCTGTTTTCATCTTTGACCTACTAAGGTTTAACCCTGTGGACTCCTGAACATGTCTATCTGGTTCTTCAAAGGCCCTTCAAACTAAGGATGACCAAAACCGAACTTGCTATCACCTTTCCTCCTGTTTTTTACCAAATTAATGATACCATTATGTTATACCCTAAACTAGAAATCAGAGTTATGGTTTGTTCCTCCCTCTCCTATGTCTCCTGTATTTAGTGAGTCACTAGATCCTATTTTAACTCTATTCTATGTAGTAGTGTCTTTTACAGCCTGTTTTGGCAAATCTCCAATACATTATTTTTTTTTCCAGGGGAAGGCATTTTTTGAAACCCAGTTAATGTTCCTCACCTCTCTAAAACTCCAAGATGCACCTTCCCCGCAGGGAAGTGCCTGGAATGGTGCAGTGGGGCCTTTGTGACTGAACACTTATGTTCCCATTCCTCTCTGATACATTATATTTTTTTTCCAGGGGAAGACATTTTTTGAAACCCACTCTGTTAATGTTCCTCACCTCTCTCAAACTCCAAGATGCACCTTCCCCACAGGGAAGTGCCTGGAATGGTGCAGTGGGGCCTTTGTGACTGAACACTTATGTTCCCATTCCTCTCTGTCCTTCCCTTTCTAAACACCCCTCTTAGCCTCTTGCATTTTAATTGCTTGCTTCTTACTGGGCACAGAAAGTAACTTGGAAGTGCTCGAATGCCTCCTCCTCCCCTTCGCACATGCTATCCTTTTACCCCCTTGTTTGCTTGCGAGCAGACCCAGGTGATGCTCTCCTTCCTTCTCTCCACAAAAAAGATTGACTCTTAAATTCACAATGAATCAGGCAACATTACAACAGACATAATAGAAATACAAGACGTCATTAGAGGGTACTATGAGCAATTATACGCCAACAAACAAAACCTGGATGAGATGGACAAATTCCTAAACACATGTAATCTGCCAAGATTGAGTCAGGAGGACATAGAAAGCCTGAATAGACCCATAACAAGCAATGTGATTGAATTAGTAATAAATAACCTCCCAATAAAGAAAAGTCCAGGTCCTGATGGCTTCCCTGCTGAATTCTACAAAAGTTTTAAAGAGATAACCCCCATTCTACTCAAACTGTTTTATAGAGATCCAAAAGGAAAGATCATTTCCAAATTCATTCTATGAAGCTTCTATCACCCTCATTCCCAAAACAAATAATGATACTACAAAAAAGGAAAACTACAGACCTGTGTCTCTGATGAATATAGATGTAAAAATTCTCGACAAGATACTTCCTAACCATATTCAACAGCATATAAAAAAGATTATTCATCATGACCAGGTAGGCTTTATCCCAGGGATGCAAAGGTGGATCAACATATGCAAAACCATAAAATAATGCTTCATATTAACAGAAAGAAAGGTAAAAACCGTATGATCATTTCAATTGATATGGAAAAGGCATTTGACAAAATACAACATTGTTTTATGATTAAGACATTCAGTAAAATCAGCATAGAAGGATTTTTTCTCAACATAATAAAAGCCATCTATGAAAAGCCTGTAGTTAATATTAAACTGAAAAAGCTTTTGGCTTTTCCACTAAAAACTGGTACAAGATCAGGCTGCCCCCTCTTTCTATTCCTATTCAAAGATCAATTGACTGTATGTTTTTGGGTTTATTTTTGAGGTCCTTACTCTGTTCCATCGATCTTCGTGCCTGTTTTTGTGCCAATACCATGCTATTTTAATTATCACCGCTTTGTAATATATTTTGGGGTCAAGAAAAGAGATGCTACCCACTCCACTCTTCTTGCACAGGATGGTTTTGGCAATACATGGTCTTTTATGATTCCAGTCAATCCAGTGGGAAAAGGAAAACCTCTTTCACAAATAGTGCTGGAAAATCTGGGTATCCACCTGCAGAAAGATGAATCTGAACCCCTATCTGTCACCATTAACAAAAATCAACTCAAAGTGGATCAAAGATCTAAATCTAAGACTGCAAACTATAAAAAATACTGGTGGAAAACACTGGGGAAACTCTGGGAGACATTGGGGTAGACAAAGACTTCTTAAGCAAGACCCCCAAAAGACAGGCAATAATCCCTAAAATAGACAGGTGGGATTACATTAGATTAGAAAGTTTCTGCATAGCAAAGGACACCATAATTAATGTGAATCACAATCCTCGAAATGTCTCAGATAAGTAACTGATAACCAGAATACACAGAGAACTCAAGAGGCTTACCTGAAAGAAAATGATTAACCCAATTAAAAGATGGGAAAATAAACTGAATAAACACCTCTCTAAGGAAGACATACAAACAGCCAAAAAGCATATGAAAAAATGCTCAACATCCCTCATCATAAGGCAGATGCAGCTCAAAAACATAATGAGATACCACTTGGCCCCATTCAGAATAGTGAAGATTAGAAAAACAAAAAATGGTAAGTGCTGGTGGGGATGTGGTGAAAGGGGAACACTCCTACACTGTTGGTGGGGATGTCAATTAGTCCATCCACTGTGGAGAACTTACCTGAAAGAAAATGATAACCCAATTAAAAGATGGGAAAATAAACTGAATAAACACCTCTCTAAGGAAGACATACAAACAGCCAAAAAGCATATGAAAAAATGCTCAACATCCCTCATCATAAGGCAGATGCAGCTCAAAAACATAATGAGATACCACTTGGCCCCATTCAGAATAGTGAAGATTAGAAAAACAAAAAATGGTAAGTGCTGGTGGGGATGTGGTGAAAGGGGAACACTCCTACACTGTTGGTGGGGATGTCAATTAGTCCATCCACTGTGGAGAACAAAATGGAGGCTCTTCAAAGACCTTCAACTAGAACTACCATATGATCAAGAAATTCCACTCCTGGGTATCTACCCAAAGGACAGGAGAACGCTCTGTTGGAAAAGCCCTTGCACAACTATATTTACTGTGGTATTATTCACCATTGCTGAGACATGGAAGCAACCCAAATGTCCACAAACAGATGAATGGATTGAAAAAGTGTGGCACATATACTCCATGGAATACTATTCAGCCATAAAAAACATCAAGACCCTAACATTTGACAGAAAGTGGACGAACATGAAAGGTTTATTGATGAGTGAAGCAAGCCAGGCTATGAAAGAGAGACAGTGTATGTCTCCACTTAACATACCAACTGTCCGCACTCTATGGTAGAAACTGAAACTCTGGAGGACATAAAAGCATTGAAAATTGTTATGGACACTGGGGTCAAAGTGGAAGGAGCGTGGGAGAAGGGGAGATTGCAGTAAGTGAAATTTAGGAAGAATGGAGAAGTAAGACATTTGTGGGACACAGATATGGTTTGTTGCCTGTTAGTGATGTCATGTATAGTATTCTCAACTCGCCTGCTGTGTGGCATATATCATGCTGGGTAAAGTTTCTTTACAAACTAAATGACATATAATGATTAAATGTATAAATAATAATAAAATGTAAAAGT